TATATGATATCAAATGACAATTGGAAAAAAATCATACATTTTGCCGACGCGTTTCGTCTTCCGACTTTTTCAAGGCAAAAATGAAATCGAAATGTTTTTGTTGTTATAGTTACATTAAAATTCAAAATTAAAAAGATAGACGCTTGTGTCTAAGCCTTTTTTTCTGGTTAATGTAAATTACCTTTATAGTAAGGGATTATTATTTATATATATATATATATATATATATATATATATATATATATATATATATATATATATATGATAGATAGATAGATAGATAGATAGATAGATAGATAGATAGATACTGACTGGCTTTTTTTTTCTGAATACAGCTATGTACTTGGTGGTTAGGTAATCTCTGTTGCAGACGCCTGCTCACTCACATTTGCATTTCTTCAATAAATTGTGCCTCACTCTGAATCTATCTTAGCTTACTTAGAGTACAGTAAATTCGACATCTCAGCCACGATGACTTCTAACTTCGTGCTCCCACAACGATTGACGTTTTCCGTGAAATTTCGTCGTCAAAATTTGGTCAAAATTCGGTTTGATTTTCAGGTGCTTGCCAAATTCGGGATCGTCTCTGTCGAAATGATGTTGTCACGAAGCAGCATACATGATCAGTTCGAAACCTAAACTTAAACAGTCGGCCACGTGCCCGTTCTAATTTAAAAAAAAAAAGAAAAAAAGTACCCTGCATGATGTCTAAAATGAAATCCGACTTTGCTACCACCCGAATATAAACTTGATTACCTCATTTAAAGAGGTACTTGCACATGTTAGCAATATAAAACATTATCATTGGCCTGAATTCCTTGCCCCCCCCCCGCTATACTTTATTAATCCCTTTCCCCGCCATTTATTTTGGGAAAAAGTTTGATATTCAAACGAATTTTGTCTATTTGTTTTTAATATAGTAACAGGCGACGGGGAGGTGGTTCTACAGAAGGATACTAAGAAAATGCTGCTAATGATGTTAGACTCTATGTCAATACCTCTAAAACTGAATTTATAGTTTTCAACAAGCAAGGCTGTCTTAGGCAAATCAATAAAATCCGTCGAATCTTTTACGTAGCTAGGAAACAAAATAAATTCTACTGAAAAGAATGTGGAAATTTGTATAGCTAAAGCTTGGGCCATCTTGAAGAAGAGACTCAAGGCGATGGTTCTACAGAAGGATGCTAAGGATATCATGGACAGAGCGTATGAGCAACAATGAGGTCTTGGAGAGAATGCGAGCAAGAAGGCTTATACTTAACATCAAAAAGAGGCAGCTGAAGTTTCTGGGACATGTAATGAGGAAAGAGGGCCTGGCGATTCTGATACACACGAGCCGACTAGAGGAAAAGAGAGTCAAGGGAAAGCTGCGGGTGACATACCTGGCGAGCTTCAGCAGGTGGATGAGAGAACGTGGTCTGGGAGAATAAGCAGAGGGAAGGAACTTGCTGAAAGCTGCAAGGGATAGAGGGAGGTGGAGAGCCATGATCACCTACGTCCTTAAAGGACATGACACTTATAAAGAAAGGAGAAAGAAGTGAGGTACCTTGAAATACCCGAGCGGTAGATAACACCTCTACCAGACATTTGGACTCGTTTCAAGCCCAGAACGGCATAAAAAGTATAAACACGTCCGTAGTTGTTTTTTTTAACGTTATGTTTGTGACGTGTTTATTCGTCCGTGTCTGAAAAAGGGTTTTAATTATATATATATATATATATATATATATATATATATATATATATAAAACAAAACAAAAAAAAAAGTATATCTATGTCTACGCTGGGGGAAGGGGTTAAAGCCAAACCGTTTCGCTTTTATTGATCGGACGTTGAACGAATATGAAAGTGACAGCTGTTCTTGTCACACCCAATTCCCTGTTCGTGTCAACCCTGCCGATTAGCACATGTTGAGCAATACATCGAAGAATCATTTTCTGCATCGAAGAGACCACGACTTACCAGCTGATTGTTTAAATCAGCGTCTTCCAATTTCTCAGTATACCTTTCCTTGGTACCATTATATCGTCTTTATGCGAGATGGGCTTCTAATCGAAAAAAAGAAAAAAGAAAAAAAAGAAAAGACCTAAACTGTTGTCCGGATTTTTCTTTGATTTTGGTAAGCGACATCCAAGACCGTGCGGAATCCAATTCAGGCGAGAATAGCATGACCTTCCTTTGAGTTGAATATCTATCTTTCTTCCGCGGGGTAATTCTTTGGCGATATATAAAAGCTGTTGCTTCCGTCCCTGCACCCGGCGATATGTCCTTCTTTTGGAAGAGATAGCCAACTGCGCCATTGAGAGTCCAATTTGCACAGGTGTTGTATTGTGTTAGCAAAAGGAGGAAGACGACATGAGGGTGACAAGAGGACAGAAAAAAACGATCTTTTCTTTTCGATGAAAGCTGGGGACAGCGAGAGAGAAGGAGAGAGAGAGAGAGAGAGAGAGAGAGAATGAGAGAGAAAGAGGGGGCAGTAAGAGAGAGAGAGGAAGGTCATGAGTGAGAGAGGAAGATAAAGAGGGATAAGAGAGAGAAAGAAAGTGTGAGAGAGGAGGGCTGAAAGCTCAAAGAGAAATGAACGAAATTATGATATTTTAAAAAAAATTATAATTATCTTTATATTTAAATTTTATTAATATTGTTTCTTCTTCTTCCTTTTCTTCTTCTTCTTCTGATTCTTCTTCTCTTCCTCTTTCTTCTTCATCTTCTTCTTTTCTTCTCTTTCCACTCTTTCTTCTTTTTCTTCTTCTTTTTCTTCTTCTTCTTCCTCTTCTTCTTCTTCTTCTCCTCCTTCTTCTTCTTCTTCTTCCTCTTTCTTCTTCATCTTCTTCTTTTCTTCTCTTTCCACTCTTTCTTCTTTTTCTTCTTCTTTTTCTTCTTCTTCTTCCTCTTCTTCTTCTTCTTCTTCTCCTCCTTCTTCTTCTTCTTCTTCTTCTTCTTCTTCTTCATTTGCCTTTTAGTTCATCGCCTGCTATCAGCGTCTTTTATATTTCTTCTTAAATTCTTCTTCTTCCTCCTCTTCTCATCTTCTTTCTTCTTCTCTTTCTTCTTCTCCACCTGCTCTTCCTACTTCTTCTTCTTCTTCTTCTTCTTCTTCTTCTTCTTCTTCTTCTTCGTCAACTTCTACTTCTTCTTCTATCGTTGCTTTTTGGTTCTTCGTCTGCTATCAGTGTCTTCTTTTATGTTTCTTATTTAAATTCGTCGTTTTCTTCTTCTTCTTCTTTTTCTTCTTCTTCTTCTTTTTCTTCTTCTTCTTCTTCATCCTTCCCTTCTTCTTCTTCTTCTTCTTCCCTTCTTCTTCTTCTTCTTCTTCTTCTTCTTTGTCCTCCCCTTCTTCTTCTTCTTCTTCTTCTTCTTCTTTGTCCTCCCCTTCTTCTTCTTTTTCTTCTTCTTCTTCTTCTTCATCCTTCCCTTCTTCTTCTTCTTCTTCTTCTTCAACTTCTACTTCTTCTTCTATCGTTGCTTTTTGGTTCTTCGTCTGCTATCAGTGTTTTCTTTTGTGTTTCTTATTTAAATTCGTCGTTTTCTTCTTCTTCTTTTTCTTCTTCTTCTTCTTTTTCTTCTTCTTCTTCTTCATCCTTCCCTTCTTCTTCTTCTTCTTCTTCCCTTCTTCTTCTTCTTCTTCTTCTTTGTCCTCCCCTTCTTCTTCTTTTTCTTCTTCTTCTTCTTCTTCTTCTTCATCCTTCCCTTCTTCTTCTTCTTTGTCCTCCCCTTCTTCTTCTTTTTCTTCTTCTTCTTCTTCTTCATCCTTCCCTTCTTCTACTTCTTTGTCTTCCCCTTCTTCTTCTTCTTCTTCTTCTTCTTCTTCAACTTCTACTTCTTCTTCTATCGTTGCTTTTTGGTTCTTCGTCTGCTATCAGTGTTTTCTTTTGTGTTTCTTATTTAAATTCGTCGTTTTCTTCTTCTTCTTCTTTTTCTTCTTCTTCTTCTTCTTCATCCTTCCCTTCTTCTTCTTCTTCCTTCCCTTCTTCTTCTTCTTCTTCTTCTTCTCATCCTCTTTCTTCTTCTCTTTCTTCTTCTCCTCCTGCTCCTCCTCCTTCTCTTTCTCCTCCTCCTACTTCTTCTTCTTCTTGCCTTCTGGTTCTTCGTCTGCTAACAATATCTTCTTTTGTTTCTTATTTAAATTCTTCTTCTTCTTCTTCTTCTTCTTCTACGTCTTCTCCTTCTTCTTCTTCTTCTTCCTCATCCTTCCCTTCTTCTTCTTCTTCTTCTTCTTCTTCTTCTTCTTCTCATCCTATTTCTTCTTCTCTTTCTTCTTCTCCTCCTGCTCCTCCTCCTTATCTTCCTCCTCCTCCTTCTTCTTCTTGTGTTCTGGTTCTTCGTCTGCTAACAATATCTTCTTCGTTTGTTTCTTATTTAAATTCGTCGTCTTCTTCTTCTTCTTCTTCTTCTTCTTCTTCTTCTTCTTCTTCTACTCTGTCCTCCCCTTCTTCTCCTTCCTTATCCTTCCCTTCTTCTTCTTCTTCTTCTTATCCTTTTTCTTTTTCTCTTTCTTCTTCTCCTCCTGCTCCTCCTCCTTCTCCTCCTTCTTTTTCTTCTTCTTGCCTTCTGCTTCTTCGTCTGCTATCAATATCTTCTTTGTTTCTTCTTTTTCTTCTTCTTCTTCTTCCATTCCTGTTCTTTCTTGTATATATTTGGGGTAGGTCCGTTCCGAATGACCATGGATCTGCGCCGAAGTAATTATGCCTCAGCTAATGTTTCCTTTCCTTGTTTTTCCTTAGTATGATACAGAAAATGTCAACTCGAGGAAAGTGTCACGTATTTACGTTGTTTTATGAACGCTTCTAATTTTCTATCAGTCAGTAAAAAGGTATCTGTGTTATACCTACTACTAACATTTATGTTGAAATGCCTCCGTTCGTATATTTGAACGTGTGCTTAATTTACTTTAAAATCGCGAGTCTATTTCAAGTAGTTAAGAAGGCCTAAAACGTTCCATATAACTTCGCTTATTGCTTAATAAATATGAATATTGCAATGGAACTCTGGAGACAAATTGCATAAAAATAAGTCAATTGAAGCTTTGGGTGATATTACTTAAATCTATTGAATTTTTTTAACAATTTGTTATAGGATTCCACAGACAGAGAGCTACACACACAGGCATAAACACAGACACAAACACACACACACACACATATATATATGTATGAGTGTGTGTGCATAAGTATGTGTGTAAGAATAGATTGAGAGTTACGTGTGCAGCAACCTCGATATATATATATATATATATATATAAAAAATTAAATGTCTATCCATCCAGTCTCTAGTTTGGATTCTATTGAATTACACTCTTCAGCTCACTTGATTGTTCAAAAACTTAAAAAAATTTTTAGAATTTTTTTTCCTGATGAGTACAGACCATTCCACGAAACACAGTGTAGACACAATATTATATATATATATATATATAAATGTTTGTGTGTGAGTGTCTGTGTGTGTGGGTGTGTGGGTGTGTATGTATGTATGTATGTATGTGTGTGTGTGTGTGTGTTTATTTGGCCAGAATCCCTCTTTTAATATTTTTTGTTTATGACTACTGCGATTAAACATTTTCTTCCATATTACTTTCATTTGCACATGCGTGAAGGTGTAGATTTTCTACATATGTGTAGATATTGAAAATTGGAACAGTCATTACACATTTTATTTCTAGAAAAATAATATCATTGTTCCAATGCAAAAAAAAGAATGAATAAAAAACTTTATCGCCGTAACTTGTCTCTCGCCTTTAATATATATATATATATATATATATATATATATATATATATATATATATATATATATATATATATATATATATACAGTTACATTAGGACATGTAAATAACCACAGATATTTCTATTGAGTCCTGTTTCAAATTCATGTTTTGAAAAGACGTTGTAAGTTTATTCTTTGTTCTTTTACCAATTTCGGTTAGCAAGGTCGATTTTCTGTGGACATATTGGTAAAGGCACGTCAGGCTATATGACAGTACCGTATAGGATACAGGATCGATTCCTGACGGAGGACGCATATTTCTATGACAATTTCTCGGACATTCATGCCGGTAAATGTTGTAAATAGTGTTTATTATAAACCAGGGCATTTACTTAAATATTTGCATCTATAAAAAAGAATGTATAAACATAAAAATGTCTTAAAATAATTGTCGGACTTTGTCCATTTCATATATATATATATATATATATATATATATATATATATATATATATATATATATATATATATTAGGTTGGTGCAAAAATAATGACGTAATGATGTCGTTTTTTTTTGACGTATTTTTAACGTCAAAAAACGACATTATTACGTCATTATTTTTGCACCAACCTTATATATATATATATATATATATATATATATATATATATATATGTGTGTGTGTGTGTGTGTGTGTGTGTGTGAGTGTGCATGTCTATGTATGTCTGTAAAAGAAAGACAGGGAATGGAAACTGACAAACAGACAGACAGGATTACAGTTTGTTTGTTTAAAACTTAACGACCTGTCGATCAGCAAGAGATCATTTAAGGTCAAACAGTTTTTTTTTTGTTTTTTTTCTTTTTCTTTAAATAAGGTTGAAATGCTTTCAAAAAGACTTTCTCTTTTCTTTCCTTCTTTTTCGATGTTGTCTTGCTTTTTTCTTTCGTTTTTTTTTTTTTAAATTCACTGTTTTCGGAGGTGCGTTGTTCTTTGAAAATTTCTCACCTGGCAAGTATCAATGTTTCCCATTTCATCATCAGACACCAAATTGAAATTATATTTTATTATATAGTCGAACTTTCCGAAGAAAGGTCAAGATCAAATTGGGGTTTGATTTTTCGAAAAGTTCTTTCAAGTTGTTCACGTTGTAAAATAATTTTCGAATATGTGCCATGTCACCGCAATCAAGCAGGAAGTGCTTCACAGTATAAGCCTCCTGGCATGCTATGCATTCAGGAGGATCTTCGTCTTTTAGGAGGAAGGAGTGAGTTATATGCCTGTGTCCTATGCGAATACGGGATAAAACCACTTCTTCTTTGCGTGATTTTTTGTGTTCAGTTAGTTGTTTCTTTAGAGTGGGTTTGATTTTAAATAATTTGTTGTTTCAACATTTGTTCCAAGAGTCTTGCCATTTCTTCAAAATAAAGTCATTTATTAAGGGTTTATAGTCAGTGTATGGAACCTTTATGTTACTTGTGTTAAGTTTCAGAGAGTTTTTCAGGATTACAGAGACTGATAACGTTTTTTTACCTTGACAATATGGCCAGCTTTCTTTAATTATTAATTGTCATTTCAAATTATTATTCAGCGACACACTATCCATTTTTCAATTAAATTATTTAATTATTAAATTCAATCATTGGTTAGTTACATTCTAAATTCATTGATGGTCGCTGATTTTATTTTGTTAAAAATGTTAATCTTAAAAAAAAAAATCAGTTAAATGATGACACATCAGATAGGGACTAAATTACCTCTTCCATTTTTTTTTTCTTTCGAATCAGCAATTCCCA